GCGGGACGGTGGGGTTGTGGTGGGAGGGTTCTTGGGATTGTGGTGAGAGAGTGGAAATCTGGTGGGAAAGTTGTTGGGATTGTGGTGGGAAGGTGGAATTGTGGCGGGGAGGTTGGTGGAGTTGTGGTGGGAGGTGGTGGAATTGTGGTGGGAAGGTTGTTGGAATTGTGGAGGAAAGGTTGTTGGAATTGTGGGAAGGTGGAATTCTGCTGGGAAGGTTGTTGGGATTCTGCTGGGAAGGTTGTTGGAATTCTGCTGGGAAGGTTGTTGGAATTCTGCTGGGAAGGTTGTTGGGATTGTGGTGGGAAGGTTGTTGGGATTGGGGTGGGAGAGTTGGTGGAACTCTGGGAAGGTGGAATTGTGGCAGGACATGTTGGAATTGTGTCGGGAAGGTGGAATTCTGTTGGGAAGGTACTTGGGATTCTGTTGGGAAGGTTGTTGGGATTCTGGTGGGAAGGTTGTTGGGATTCTGTTGGGAAGGTTGTTGGGATTCTGTTGGGAAGGTTGTTGGGATTCTGTTGGGAAGGTTGTTGGAGTTCTGGTGGGAAGGTGGAAGTGTGGCGGGGAGGTCGTTGAAATTGTGGTTGGAAAGTTGATGGAATTCTGGTGGGTGTTGCTGTGTTGGGGCTGATGGAGCTGCTCCCCTTGGGTTTGCTGCTGGAGAAATGAGGGATTGGTGAGAATTCCAGGGGAAATTAGGATTTGATGGGTGTTTCTGGGAGAAATTAGAGTTTGCTGCTGGAGAAATGAGGGATTGGTGAGAATTCCAGGCAGAAATTAGGATTTGATGGGTGTTTCTGGGAGAAATTAGAGTTTGCTGCTGGAGAAATGAGGGATTGGTGGGAATTCCAGGGAGAAGTTGGGGAATTTCAAGAGGAAGTTAGGGTTTGCTGGAGATTCCAAGAAGAAATTAGGATTTGATGGGTGTTTCAGGGAGAAATTAGTTTTTGCTGATGCAGAAATAAGGGTTTGATGGGTGTTTTAAGGAGAAATGATGGTTTGCCGGGTTTTTCAGGAAGAAATAAGGGTTTGCTGGGAATTCCAGGAAAAAAATAGGGTTTGCTGTGGAGAAATAAGGATTTGCTGTGTGTTTCAGGAAGAAATGAGGGTTTGCAGGGTGTTTCTTCCTGAAAACTCAGAGTTTTGTACCAATAAATAGTCTAAATAATACACTTATATAGATTTATTTGTGTGGGGTACGATTTTTAAAAAAATATTTTCAGCTAAAGTGCCTGCTTCCTACAGTTCCAGCAAAGTTTTGGAGTTCATCCACCTTATCTTGATTTTTACATTCCAACTCTAATTTAGAAACTCATATTTAGGTCTTAAAATGCAAGAGAACTTACTCTCTATTTTTTTCCCTGAGAGATTTGTTTATCAAATGCTGGAGGATAAACTCCTTTTTATTACATGAATTGTTATAGGAAGTTATGATAAAAACCTTAAAAAGAAACAAGGAGGGTCTGGCTCCATCTTCTTCCTACAAGAGCACATCTGAGCCATGGGAATAAAATTCTCTGGAGGCTCCTTTAAACCTAAATTATTCTATTATTCTAATAAGCACACACAATATTCCATTTATCCGTGCATCAGCATCCTGCTCCCTTTTCTCCCTGAGAAAAAGAAATGAAAAAAAAAAGGAATTTTGTGAAGATGAAAAAGGTGAATTAACCACGGATGATCGTGGTCAGAGGGGCACATTTGGAGGGTGAATTTTTGAGGGTGGGACAGCCCCACAAATCCAATTTTCACTCTGGGAGATTCCAGCAGCAGGGCTGTGGTTTTCCCCCACTGGAAACCCTATAAAAAAAAAAAAACCAACCAAAAAACAGTAAACCAAATTTGCTGCTCCTTTTGGTGACTCTGGAATTTTTTAAATTGAGATTAAAAAATGAAAATAATTCAATTTTAAAAATTAAGATTAAAAAAAAAAAAAATCCCATCCTGGCAAAGTTTGCCCCATCCCTGGGGGAATATTCGACCCCATCCCAAAACTCTTAAATGAAAGGAAAATAAATGTGAATATGCTCTGCAGTCCCCCCAGCCTGAGCTAAATAAAGCTGATTTTTCTGTCACTGCTGCACGCTTGCCTTTCAGTTCCTCCTGTACTTTGAGCTTCTCCTTCAAGTGCATTGAAAATGAAGCTTCTAGAAGATTCTTGTCACCTTATCTGGTGGTTAATTGCCATTCCTTTTCCAAAACCTTCTGCACCAGGAGTTTTGTTTTTGAAGTAATTGAAAGTCTCTCTTTGTTTCATGTTCACAAATTGTTAGTCATGAAAGATGACAAGATCAACTTATGTTTCCTTGGAAAACTTAATTTTTCTTTAAAGCAGCCGTGGGAACAAGAGGCCTATTAAAGAACAAAGCCACCAAATATGAAATCTGTGTTTTCACTGTTCCTGTTAATAATGATCTGTGATCAAGACACGTGCACAGCCCTTTCAAGAATATATTATTTTGTACTTTTTTTTTTTTAATTTTTTTTTTTTAACTTCAGTAATAAGAGCAGAATGTCCCTTTGAGATAAAGTTTTGCAGACATTGCTGCCCTGGCAGTTTGTTGTGTTGAAGCTCCAAGGAAAAGAGTTTGTCAGGAAAAGAGGGGGAAAAAAAAAACCAGGATTTTGTGAGTTTTTGAAGGAGTTTGAGGGCATTAAAGGTTTCACCCTTTAACTCACCTGAGATTTGGGAGAGTGGTTCTTCCCCATTTCCTCCCCATTTCTTCCCCCATTTTTTCCCCATTTCTTCCCCAATTTTTCCCCAATTCCTCCCCCAATTCTTCCCCCATTTCTTCCCCCATTTCTTCCCCCATTTCTAAGCTGAGAATTGGGGTTTGGTGAAGTTCTCTGGGAAGAAAACTTCCAAGCGAGTTGGAATTCTTCCAGTTTAATTTGGAAGAAATTAAAATGAGTTTTGTTGGTTTGGTTTGGGAGTGGATTCTCCTGGAAGAGCCAAGGGAAGAAATTAAACTGAATTTTGTTGTTTTGGTTTGGGAGTGGATTCTCCTGGAAATTAAACTGAATTTTCTTGTTTTTGGTTTGGGAATGGATTCTCCTGGAATTTAAACTGAATTTTGTTGTTTTGGTTTGGGAGTGGATTCTCCTGGAAAAGCCAAGGGAATTCAGCAAATTCCCCTGGAATGGGGAATTCCATGGAAAGCTGGGCTCCCCTCGGGGATTTGGGCATGGAATCGGGAATTCCGAGCTGAGATCCACGGGAATTCCTGGAATTGTGCCTTGGGGAGCCCGAAATCCAGATGTGGCACATGAAAACTGGGATGAGCCTCATCCTGCTGGGGTTTTTTTGACACACCTGAGACGTGGGAGCACCTTTATTTTAAATTTCCCTCTCGGAGCTGCTGAGCAATGGGCTGTGTCTCACCAGGTTGTGCAGCCAGGGGTCTAAACCAGCTGTAAGGTGAAAAATATATTTATTTTAAAATTTTTTAACTATTCACTGCTTGTTTTTAATGCTGCCTGCTCTCCCCACACCTTCCCCTTGGAAATCGCAGAATTCAGAAGCACAAACTCCCCTCGTTCCTCAGCTGGGCAGTGAAACAGCCCCAGCTGTTAAAAATAATCGCTCCTAATTTGGATTTTTTTTCTTCCCCAGCCTGAAGAAATCCTCTGCAGAGCTGAAGAAGATCCTTGCCAATGGCCAGGTGGGTGCTGTGGCTCGGCCACGTCTGGTTTTGGCACCCCTGGGTGCTCTTCCAGCTGTAATTTTGATTTTTTTAACCCAAAATTGGCGGCTCATGGGAGCATTCAGGGTCCAGGTTTGCTTTTATTGGCACAGAAATTTTCTTTCGATTGGTGCAGAAATTTCCTCCTGTGGAAGTTTCTTCCTTTCCACAGGAAAAATTTTCTCCTGTGGAAAGGAAAAATCTGCTTTTTTTCCCTTCTCCAAATCTGCTTCAGCTGCAAATGGATGGAGGCTCTTCAATTTTGAATTACCGAATTAACTTCTCACTGCTGTCAGCCTCACAGCAGAGGTAGAAATGAGATTAAAACTTGGGGTTTTGTGGAGAATAGTTGAATTTTTATTTACTTAGCTCATTTGTTGGAGCCCTGGTTACTGAGAATTTTGTAATTTCTGCACTGACAAACGCTGGCCCCCAAAAAATGCTGAATTTGACCTGGGAGCGTGGAGAAAGTTCCCAAAATTCAGTGATAAAACTGAGATTGTGGGTGTGAAGTTTGATTAAAAGGGTGTCATAAAGAATAAACTCTATATTTACATTAAAAATCCCAAAATTCAGTGATCAAACTGGGATTGCGGGTACGGAGTTTGATTAAAAGGGTGTCATAAAGAATAAACTCTATATTTACATTAAAAATCCCAAAATTCAGTGATCAAACTGGGATTGCGGGTATGGAGTTTGATTAAAAGGGTGTCATAAAGAATAAACTCTATATTTACATTAAAAATCCCAAAATTCAATGATCAAACTGGGGTTGTGGGTGTGGAGTTTGATTAAAAGGGTGTCATAAATAAACTTTGTATTTCTAGGAATATTAGGAGGTACTGTGCATGAATTGAATTGGTTAACAATCTGCTGAAATTAATTTCATTGGCCAGTGTGTATATTTATTAAATATCTCTATTTTTAGGTAGTTTATGTATTTTCTTTATGGATTCTTATAGGATAATTTTTTTTTTTTTTTGGTGAAAAATCTGGTTTTTTGCCAAGAACAGGAAGATTTTTCACAAGAGCAGGTTGTTCTGTAAACTGATTTTCACCCTTGAGTTCATTTCTCACAAGAGCTCAGCAGCCTTGGCTGTTGGGTTGGTTGGAGCAGCAATAAGGCCTGATTTTACAATTTATTATTAAAATAAATTTACTTTTCTAGGGTTTTATTTCTGTGCACTAAATGACCTCAGTGGGGTTCAGGGCAGGAGGTGCTGAAATATTTGGGAGCTTTTTTGGGGTTTGGGATGGGTTTGGGATCCCAAAGTGAAAATCCCAGTTCCCTGCCCAGGGCATCCCAGGAAGGGGAACCCACAGTGCTCAAGCAGCCAATGGATTTTAATATAGAAATCGATTTTATATAGAAATAAACATCACTATAAACCCAAATATTATATATATATGTAATATTTAATTATATAAATATTTTAATATACACATATATTTAATATATGAATAAGCATACAATATAAACCCATATTGTTTCTATTTAATATTAATTATTTAAATAGATTTAATGTATAATATGGTTAATTTCTAAATAAATATAAAATATAAAGCCAATCATAGTACTTATATTTATTATTTAATTATATGTACTTTTAATACATAAATATATTTTATAGAAAGAAATATATAAAATTAAAGTAGATATACAATTTTTAATATTTTATATTTGTAACTATTAGACAGGAATATATAAATATATATAATACATTATATTTATAGAAATATATGCTAGATATTTAGAATATAAATATATAGTTATTTTATAAACATTTTAAATTTATAAATTAATTATTTTATAGAAATAAATATAAATATAAAATATATTTATAAATATATACTATGTATATAAAAATTATATTTATATTTTATCCCCGGGCCGAGCTCCGCGTTATCCCGGGCTCAGCTCCGCGTTACCCTCACCTCAGCCCTGTCAGGGCAAAAAATGAGGGATTTCCCTCCAAAAATGACATTTTTTCTTCCCCCCCGCCTTAAATGTGATTTTTTTTCCTCACCAAAATTTTTTTTTTTTTTTTTTCCCACCAAAATGAGGTTTTTTTTCCCCCATCTCAAATTTAGATTTTTTTTTCCCGCCAAAAAGTTGTCAGGGCAAACATGAGGGATTTCCCGCCAAAATGAGAATTCTTTTGCCCCCCGCCCAAAAATGTGATTTTTTCCTCACTAAAAACAAAATTTTTTTTCCCCTGCCAAAAATGAGGGTTTTTTTACCTCCTAAAATAACATTTTTTTTTAATTCCCCACCAAAAATGAGATTTTTTTACCCCATCCCAAAACGTGATTTTTTTCCCGGCCAAAAATGTGGGGTTTTTTTTCCCCGCCAAAAATGAGATTTTTTTTTTTTTCCCCCAAAAAAAAAGGGAAAATTTTCCTCCAAAAAAAAACACATTTTTTCCCCCCCCCCAAAAGAGAGATTTTTTCCCCCTCAAAAAAAGAAAATTTTTCACCCCCCCCCAAAAAAAGAGACCCCTGCCCCCCAAAAATGAGAGATTTTTTTTTTACCCCCCAAAAAGAAAATTTTTCCCCCCAACAAAAAAGAAAATTTTTTTTCCCCCTCCCAAAATAACATCATTTTCCCTCTCCCAAATTGAGATTTTTTCCTCAAAAATAAGATTTTCCCCTGTCAAAAATGAAATTTTCCCCTCCAAAACATGAGCCCAACACTGCAGAATTGCTGGGATACAGCTAGAAATGTGAATTTTAGGCTGAGTTCAGACTTCTCAAATTCCTGCCAGTTAATTTTTTTAAAAAATTCAAAAAGGCCAAGGAAAAAAAAGAATTCCCCCCAAAATCCGGGAACAACAACAACAAGGGGCCGAAACTTTAAAACCAAGTTTACTCCGATATTACTCATTTATTTTAGAGTAAAATGTGAATTAAATGTGAGTGAAATCTCCCTGTGGTTGGCTGAATTTGGCATTTTGGTTGTTCTAAATACAGAATAAATTCTAAATGCAGAATAAATTTATTCTAAATACAGGTTGGTGTGCCCTGCAAGATTTGTTCCTTGGGGTTTAGAATTTTAAAACCAAACCTCTTCTTAAACTCCCTGGGAAAAAGAAAAAGAAAATAAGGATTAAGTGGCTCTTATGATATTAAAAATGTTACTTAAACCCGATGAAAAATAGAAGAAAATAAGGATTAAGTGCCTCTTATGATATTAAAAATGTTATTTAAACCCCCTGAAAAACAGAAGAAAATAAGGATTAAGTGCCTCTTTTTATGATATTAAAAATGTAAATGAAACCCACTAAAAAAAAAAATTATTATTCGGTACTTACGATATTGGAATTGTTACTTAAACCCACTAAAAAGAAAATAAGAATGAAATTCTCCATTTACACCCAGTAAGAAAAAGAAGATAATGATTAAGTATCTCTTCTGATATTAAAAATGTTACTGAAAACCAGTAAAAAGAAAGAAATAATTAACTTTTAATGCTACTTTTTAGTCAGCCTGGTGGGAGTGGATCTGATTTTTGTTGGGAGAAAATTATTTCGGTTGTGTCCTGCAAAATTTTGGTCACAGCTCCACGACTGGGGATGGATTTTGGGTGAAAATTTTAACTTTTATTCATTTTGTGGGGGATTAAGTCACACGTAAGCAATACTTAAGTCTGGCCTGGGTGATTATTTTGGATTATTATTTTGGATTGTTTTGGATTGTTTTGGATCATTTTTTATTATTTTGGATTATTTGGATTGTTTTGGATTATTTTGGATTATTTTTGATAATTTTGGATTATTTTTGATAATTTTTGATTATTTTTGAAATTTTTTTGGCAGTTTCTGCTTTGAGCCCTGCCTAACGATATTCCCCCCGTTGTTTCCATTTGGCTTTCATAAGGAATTCATAAGAATCATTAAAAAAGGGGCCGTGATTCTTCAAGAGAATCAAATATTGACAGGTCAGAAATAGCTTTCTGCCCGGCCTCGCGGATGGAGGTGATGGGATATAAATATTTATTTCTTTTCTGTCACTCAGGGTAAATGCCACCCATTGATTCTGCATTGATAGAGTGGCAGCAGTTCATGAGGAGCTGCCCCCCCGAGCGTCCTGCAAAATGG